CTTACATGTCAAGCTCATTTAAAAATGTATTACGGTAAATATTTTTGATTTTGGAATTTATAACTCCTAAAGTTTGACTTAGATAATTAGATTCTAAATTATAATTCGCTTAAATATTTAAAATTTATTTTATTATTAAATCATCAATTTATTATATTTATCTCATATTAAATTGTCTCATAGGCTTTACTATATTATCAAAATGAGACTTGTAATATGACATCTCTTTTTGTCTTTAACTATTTTTTTCTTTGACAATTTGATAAAAGACTTTTTTTTGTCGAAAATTTAGATAATTTGAAATGAAAATAATGTATTTTGTAATATGAAAATTTAGAAGTATTACCTTTTTTGGTATGACAATTTTTTTTTTATTATTTGTTCCATAATCCTTGTTTTGAATATATATTTGCTATTTTTATTTTTCAATTTTTTGTTAATATTGACACATGTCACAATCTAAATTAACAATTACATGTGTCGTAATCTAGTGAGTTATAATTTTGTCTACGTATCGCATTCTCATCGCGCGCATCCTCTTCTATATAATAAGATAGCTATTTTATTCAATTATTGATGATTTGATTAATCAAAAAAATTAAAGAGGTTTTGATAAACTATTGTAAAGAATATTGACAAATCCAAAAGCTTTTGCGAAAACTTTGAAAAGAGGACTCATGAACTTTATCCCTAGAAGTTTTTGTCCATCGCTACTAAGTTATACGTCACAGTGAAAATTTGATAAAATATATGCCATCGGTTATCAGAAGAAAAAGAAAACATTATAAATACTCAATTTGAATATGTCGTTACAGCCAGCTTCGATATTTTGATGATGGGTAATGTGGTGTGCACGGACGGAGCCTATGGTAATAATGGTTGTTGACTTGTGAGCTCAAAGGCCCTATCTTTATTTGGGCTTCACTTGTGACACAATAATATATACTGCTTTTTCTGGTCTAAACTTGGTTTTGTTTACAATATTTCTTAAAGTTATGGTCTGGGTTTGTCCATCTTCTGTAATGAATGTAGTAGTTTCAAGTTCCGAGAAATCTATACAGAGGCAAGAAAAACAATCATTTCGAATCAA